TCACTCACTCACTCTCTCACTCACTCACTCACTCACTCACTCACTCACTCACTCACTCACTCACTCACTCTCTCTCTCTCTCACTCACTCACTCACTCTCTCACTCACTCACTCACTCACTCACTCACTCACTCACTCACTCACTCTCTCACTCACTCACTCACTCACTCACTCACTCACTCTCTCACTCACTCACTCACTCACTCACTCACTCACTCACTCACTCACCCACCCTGTCACTGCTTGTTATGTAGGCGACTACAAAAATAATTCAAGACCCACGTGTTCAAACAACTGTTTTCACTTAAAAATAAGTTGACACATATTTTACAAAAACTGACATTTAATGCAGTGATCCAGGTGTTGAATTATTGAAAATAAACTACCTCAGAGTCATCAAAGGCAAATTGATTGTTTTGCTGCAAGTGAGAAAGTGGTATTCAGGAAGTGGCAGCCATGTTTGTTATCTCTGTAAGGAGTTTGGCTTTGATGTGTATGACTTGGAGCTTGTAAGAGATACATCTATGATTCGTCCCTCCCAGGGGGAACGTCTTCAAACATTAAGGTGAACATCCTTATCGTCACTGAAATATTCATGAGAGGAAATATTAGTTTATATCCACCTGCTCCACCAGAGTGGTAGCCAATTAGAGATTGACATTGCAGGACACTAAACATAACAAAATGAAAGCACTGAGGATTTGAAATATGATGTCAAGATCTTTTGATCATCTTGATAAGTTTGTAATACATCGATAAGAAAAAACGAAAAGCCATGTTTCTAGAAAAAAGTACATACATTTTCAACAGTACTGTTAAATCAGTGTTTTCATTTGTGTTTTTTTAATACTACATTTACATCTGGGACTGTCAGCAGGACTGGTGGTATTGTAGCCCAGTGGTTAAAGCGTTAGCTCACCACAGTGAAGGCCTGGTTTCTATTCCTCATGATGCAGCAGGAATACTGTTAAGATGGGCACTCACTCACTCACTCACTCACTCACTCACTCATGGGGTGGTCGGGTCGCCTAGTGGTTAAAGCATTCGCTCGTCACGCCGAAGACCCGGGTTCGATTCCCGACATGGGTACAATGTGTGAAGCCCATTTCTGGTGTCCCCCGCCGTGATATTGCTGGAATATTGCTAAAAGCGGCCATACTCCACTCACTCACTCACTCACTCACACACACACTGATTTTTTACCTTTGATTGATAATTTTAAAATTAAAGTTTTTCAGTGATAATATAGTTTGTTAGGGATAACAATTGAGTGTATCATGTAGTAAATTAGCAAGTTTTGGCCTGCTTTCTTGGTAAATGTGTATGTGTTGCAAAGCACAGTTAAATAAAAGAGTTTTGTTATTTATTGGTTTTTACATGAAAGATCCTCTTAAATGATGATATTTTTTTTTCACACTGTTGATCAATGACAAAGATAACACTGATTTCAAGCAGTAGATATCAGTTTTTCAGTAACGAGGAGTCAAGTTTGAAATTTACAGTACATGATAGTTTCAAGGCCGAGTCAAAGAGGTGACACTTTCTTTTCCAAGTGGGAAAAGAGAACCGGCAATTTGTTCTTGGTGAACTATTAGCCTACAGATTGATGTATTTGTGTTCAGTCGTTTGTTTTCCCTCCATTTAAGGTCATGTTTGCTCAATGAATTGAATTTCTCGTCTGCAGAGAGGGTAGTTCCAGCCTAACACACAACAAGCTGGCTAAAATGGGGAACTCGTTCAAGAGGAAAAAATGCTAGTTAAGACGCAAGAAAACATTTCTAATTAGGGATTACTTAACTGAAAAAAGTGTGGGAAATTTTACAGATTTCAAGGTTAAAGAGAGCTTGAAGGGAATGGGGACGTAAGCAGTTTATGACGTGTAATTTTGTTAAACAGTTATTTTGTTGTTGAAATTGACGATTAATTTAAATCTGGATTTCTAATTTGATTTTGTTTCTGGTGCAGATGATAGTAAAAGTAACAAAAATATGTATTGCACCTTTGTAGCAAATGTGTCTGTCATTTTGTAGAATTTACATAATGGTGCAGTTCTTTTGATATTTCATTTTCTGTTTTTAAGTGTGAAATATCAAATGGAAGTTTAAAGTTCTCACTACACCAACATATATATGTGTAATGATGTTACAATAGATGATGACATCACAATAGATGATGATGTCACAGGCAGTCATTGCTGCAGGCATGTTGACACTTAGTTTCTCACAGTTCTAATCTTCACTAATATTTCAGCCTGGTAAATAGATATATTACTACACTTGTGTGGAATATTATGTGTGTGGTATTTGTATATTTGTATATTTTGACAGGGAAAAATTCTGATGCTTTTGTCATAGAAAATAAGAACATCAGTAATCGGAATGAAGCAATTATTTTCCTCTTCATGACAAGACCTGTATTGTAGAACTCCATTATTGAACGTATCCACAGCCAACATTGGGCATGTTTGGTCTAGCATCACATTTCATTCTGAAAAAGCAAAAGGCAAAAGCAGTGGCAAGTAAACATGTCTCTCTTCGGAAGTTATTCTTATTTATATCCCGGTTTCTTTCTAACACCTCCAACATTGTTGCCGTTGTTCCCAACAACAAGGGAAATATGAAGTAGAATGTAGGACATGACACAGTTGCCTTTGCTGACATGCCAGATGGTTGGCTGCAGGGAGACTGCTAGGGCTTGAGGACAAACAAGGCCATTACTCTTTCATACGTTAGAGCTGAAATTCGATTTTCCTCATTTTCTCTCGATGAATTCTTGTAATTTATTTGAATTTTATATGGATAGAAGTGATGCAATTATTTTCATGGTTAGCGGCTTCACTGCATTTGAAACCCTAGTGTACAACTTTAATTTGTGAAATGATAATATTTTTTCAGTTTTGAAATATTTTAAAATGGTTAAGATATTAAGATACATGTAAGAAGCCTCACTTTCAACATTGTTGGAAGAGTTTTGTTGATTCAAGTATAAAATAGGTAATCCCAAGTTGAAATATTGTACTTTTCAGAGTTTTAAGTTATTCATTTGATCTCATGGGGCATGCAAATCTTCAAGTTATAGTTGAGTATGATCATAGGTACTGTTCACATAGCTGACTGTCTGTATACACTACACCAAGATAAACCCTAGTAGCCACAAATGATGTTGTGCATAGAGACCATGATTCCGTCAGTAAGTTCCCTGGATGCTTGAAGATGTTACAAAGGTGTTCTTTAATATACCAAACCGCCTCCGTGGTCTTGTGGTAGAGCACATGTGCATGCACGTCGCTATAAAAGTGCAATAATCTTGGACGCGACGTTAAACCCAATTTCACCTCACCTTTAATATACCAAACATGGCAGCACCTTGAAAGGATATAATAAATAAGTTGGATTGGTGTTATGGCCATTTTAGAATATTTACGCTTTACTTTTTGAAAACAACTTACACCATACCGTAATGAAACGTAACCTGCTGTGATATAATCGACGTACTGTTCAAAGTAGCTTACAAACTTACGTAATTAAAGCACAACATTTCGAACATTAATCTCTCTTGCAGATCCCACAGCATACATATGTTATGAAACAATGACCCCCATACCATTCTCGGACGATTTTCAGAACATTTTCAGACCATCCTTGGTGGTTCCTTAATACTCAAGGGTTTCCTTATGGAATATTGTGTATTTTACGTTATACATAACTGTTTTGGGGGTTTTGTCAGCAGGGACCTCCTTTATTTGTGATAGGGGCAAATTTAAGTCAAATACGGTTATAAAAAGCAGGATATTTCTGTCAGCATGATTCTAGAGATGAAATGATTAATTTCATTGAGTTGTTAGAGTCCTTAGCCACAACCGGCTTCACAAGTGTTGCAGCATGGTTACTCCTAGTTCGATGGCAAGGGCAACCCTGAATACCACACGCAGGAAGGCCTGGGTTAAGCCTGATAATCGCACCAACCTTTGCTCTGCCATTTTCAGAAGGGCTCCATACATAGCCAAAATATTTATGGATGATATTTGATTGTGGATGTTTGGGGTTTTGTTGGCTTGGATGTCTGCTCCTATCTGGGGACCTCTGTGACCGATGTTGAAAGGTGGCTGGCCATGGGTCAGGATGTTAGTGTATTGATAAACAGTACCATAGCACAGACAGTTTGCGTTTTCCACAGCATTAACTTTGATGTGTTCACAAGACATTGCCGTAAATTGCTTGCATTCTGTTACAGATAGCTAAATGCTTAGACGTGCAGAATGTTTCAGATTTTTCTGTTTGTTGACTCAGTGGCTCATATCAGCTAGGAATAGTTGCAATTAAAATGGTGTTTGTGCAGGAAGTTGCGCGGTTGGTAAATTGATTCATCTAGGTTATCATATCTCTGGTTGACGATGAACAGATACCAGTCTTGGTGTGAGGAGGCTAGACTTGCATAAGTGGGTTTGGCAAAATATCTTTCAATGAAAAAATGAAGTTTATTTTGAAAACAAATCATCAACATACTTTGTTCCTGTAAAAAAAATGTCTGATTTGCTTAATATTAATATAACCAAAATTACATTATTCCTTTCTTCAGTATGGCCTTGGAGCAAGGCTAGGATGAGCATATATTGTAGTATGGCCTTGGAGCAAGGCTAGGATGAGCATATATTGTAGTGTGGCCTTGGAGCAAGGCTAGGATGAGCATATATTGTAGTATGGCCTTGGAGCAAGGCTAGGATGAGCATATATTGTAGTGTGGCCTTGGAGCAAGGCTAGGATGAGCATACATTGTAGTATGGCCTTGGAGCAAGGCTAGGATGAGCATATATTGTAGTATGGCCTTGGAGCAAGGCTAGGATGAGCATATATTGTAGTATGGCCTTGGAGCAAGGCTAGGATGAGCATATATTGTAGTATAGCCTTGGAACAAGGCTAGGATGTACTTTCTCCCACAATAACCATCAACACTATGTTCGCTCAGAGACATCTTCCACCAATGCTGAATTGATGTTGCAGATACCCGCCACGGATCAGTGTACCCGAGGGCTGATGAAGATGATGTACTGCCCGCACTGTCAGGGGTTGGTCAGCACCAAACCCTGCAACAACTTCTGCCTCAACACCATGAAGGGCTGCCTCGCCTACCAGGCCGACATCAACAATGTGTGGAACGAGTATATTGGTAAGTAGCAAGACTTTGTTTGCTTTATTCATGTGCTGCAAGGGTGGCCCCATGCCATGTGTGTTTGCTTCTCCATCATGAACCAGGAGTTTGATTCCACACACTTACCTTCGGGGCACCTGTTTGATTATCCATCATGAACCAGGAATTTGATTCCACACAATTACCCTCGGGGCACCTGTTTGCTTATTGGTCATAGGCCAGGAGTTTGATTCTACACACTTTTTTTACCTGCCCTCAGTATTGATGTTAAGTAATACTGGTGCTAGGCAATTCCACAAGCAGTATCTGAGTTAGAAGAAGTCCCATGCAGTATCTTGATTTTTCCATGCATTAGAATCTATCGGTATTGAAGTTTGTTTGTCGCACTAATGTTATTTTAATGTAACTTTCGGTAAGTGAAATTTTGTGATTGGATGATACGCAATCATTTTATCTAATAGTTGTAATATACGCAATCGATTTATCTAATAGTTGTAATATACGCTTTAGTTTTGTTTCAACATGTATTTAAAGGTTTTATTGCATATTTGATATGCTAGGATTTGATTTATCTGCGTGTTTCAGTTTATTTAAAGTGTATTTGCATTGCTTATCTCGAGCTCTGTATGCCTGCATGCACGTACTCTTTTATTTAAGAAAACATTCTCTTGCTAACCCCAAATATTTTGTTACTGCATATGCACATTCTCCAAGAGGCGGGAGATAGGAAGCTGAAGGTGATGAATGCTAATGTGCACTGTCTGGAGTGTCCGATGTAGGTTAATGGAATACTAACTGTCCATTGTCTGTGCCACCCATTCATTAGGCAAGCAGCTATGTAAGGTTGGGGAAATGTATGACTGCTCAAACTTCATGAAACAAGCTTACATCATAGTCACAGTCAAGTCTGTGGAGATTTGGGTGCTAGTTAACAGAAGTTAGTTTGTCTTTGATCGCAAGTTTGTTAAATATCACCGGTTGAGTATCCAAACTTCTCTGCTCAGATTGGCTACATGAAACATTTTGGCAAGTCCATACCAAATTCAGCTGACATTTAACTGGTTTATGAAAGTGTTCTGTCAAATTCAAATTTAAAGGAGTCAGAACATGGTCTTGAAATTTAATTTTTTTGTTTGGAATAAATCGTGTTCAGGGAAGTATGACTGCATCTAGCAGAATCTAATTTCAAGTATGTAATATATTTATTTATTGTTTATTCGGTATGAGTAACAGTGTACTACTGACAATTTTTCAAGTTTTTTGTTTGTTTAATATTTTTGAACTGAACAAACTTCTTACTATCTTAAGTTTGCAGAACTTGATTTAAGGAAAATATGACTTCATTGCTTATGAAACCTTTTTTATCACACATTCTCATATAAGCTCCTAACACCTCCTGACCTTGCAAGGAGTATCAGTATCTGCACACCTCTCCGATAGTGGACTGCATTTAGAAATAGACTGGGTTCAGATAAACACTGTTTATCATTCCCAGACTCTCACATATAACATTTCCATGTTCGTTATATTCTATCAGCAAAGTGGAATTTGTTTGATAATGATTGCTGCTACCGATGTTGGCTGTTACCGAATGAATCACCAGGTGTCACAGGCTACACATTAGTTAATGTTTTGTAAAGGTCTGCCACCTATTAGCATCTGGTTTCAACATGTACTACTCCCCTGTCAGCAAGTCCCATGGTATTCTAGACGAAACCACCCTCAGATGGCAACATGGGGCTGTTTTTATTGGATTTCTCTGCCTGTATTGCTTACAGTGACATAAGAACTGATCCATGATCATGTGTTAAAAATGAGTGTTCTACACTTGTATATTGTGCCTGAATTACATACGGGTGAGATATTTCACTACTTGCAGGTGAGATATTTCACTACACACGGGTGAGATATTTCACTGCACACAGGTGAGATATTTCACTACACACGGGTGAGATATTTCACTACATACAGGTGAGATATTTCACTATTTGCAGGTGAGATATTTCACTACACACAGGTGAGATATTTCACTACTTGCAGGTGAGATATTTCACTACTTGCAGGTGAGATATTTCACTACACACAGGTGAGATATTTCACTCCATACAGGTGAGATATTTCACTACTTGCAGGTGAGATATTTCACTACATACAGGTAAGATATTTCACTACTTGCAGGTGAGATAATTCACTACACACAGGTGAGATATTTCACTACTTGCAGGTGAGATATTTCACTACTTGCAGGTGAGATATTTCACTACACACAGGTGAGATATTTCACTCCATACAGGTGAGATATTTCACTCCATACAGGTGAGATATTTCACTACTTGCAGGTGAGATATTTCACTACACACAGGTGAGATATTTCACTACACACGGGTCAGATATTTCACTACTTGCAGGTGAGATATTTCACTACTTGCAGGTGAGATATTTCACTACACACAGGTGAGATATTTCACTCCATACAGGTGAGATATTTCACTACATACAGGTGAGATATTTCACTACATACAATCCAGAACCATAACTATATTTTTAATACTTACACGTGGGATACATTCATAAGAAATGAGTGCATCAAACTATCATCTTACACAATAGGGTACAAGACTCTTCTGTATTCACGGCAAATAGTTTATTCTTAAATACACTCTTCACGCTGAAGACCCGGATTTGATTCGCGACATGGGTCAATGTGTGAAGCCCATTTCTGGAGTCCCCTGCTTTGATATTGCTTGTATATTGCCGAAAGCGGCCTAAAAACTCACTCACTCACTCACTCACTCACTCACTCACTCACTCACTCACTCACTCAATTCTGGAACAGTTTTCAGTAGAAGGGGCATTCGGATAGCCTAGTGGTTAAAGCGTTCGCTCATCACGCCGAAGACCCGGGTTCAATTCCTGACGTGTGAAGCCCATTTCTGGTGTCCCCCGCTGTGATATTGCTGGAATATTGCTAAAAGCGGCGTAAAACAATACTCACTCACTCACTCACTCACTCACTCACTCACTCACTCACTCACTCACTCACTCACTCACTCACTCACTCACTCACTCACTCACTCACTCACTCACAGCGCATAGTTTATTCTTAAATACACTCTTCACGCTGAAGACCCGGATTCAGGTTGCGTCATGGGTACAATGTGTGAAGCCCATTTCTGGAGTCCCCTGGAACAGTTTTAGTAAGGACAGGTCGTACAAAACACCCTGCAACAGATAACCACAAGTAATTAATATTAACAGTGTACCTTGTTTCCCCAAAGCCCAGCTGAAGGTTAGGCAGCAAATGACACCAGCAAGTACTGTTTCAGTAACCCCAACCCATTTGCTGCATATCTTCTTCCTGTCTACCAACATTGTTTATGGGGAAAGTAATCTTTCACCTATGTACATTAAGGAATTCGCCTGCTCAGCTGATGTACGAATCGGAGTGGGTATTCTACCCCCCTCCACGTGGGCCCCACCTGTACAAGTGTTCCTCCAACCCAGGCAGGCCCTTGTCTATATGGGAATTAAACTGCAGAAAAAAAGCCAGGAGGCCAGGTGAACCCAATTATCCAGGAACCATAGCTCTTCTTTGAAGAGCAACAAAACCTGGCCATAGTCAGGAAACATCGTAGTTTCTCGCACTGTAGTTATTAACCTCCAACGAGACATCTGAAAATTGAGGCAAGGAAAAACGTTTTTGTTTTGATCGATCGAGGTGTACGTAGAAGAAACAGGTGTTAATTGTAGGCCAGCAAGGTGTTACTCCCGGGCTTTGAACACTCTCAGGTCTGCTCTGTTGTTCCGGCTTGCCGAAACAATTCTGTTAAATATACCAAGCCTTCTTATCAGGTTGTTATACCGATTTGAATGTGTTTGTTTTCTGTGATATCTTGATAGTATGGTTCGAAACATTAAGCTTCATATTTCTTCTTTCTTAGAGTGAGAAGGGTATTAATGCATTTTGTAGTAGATTCATGTTTTTGATGTATAATGATGCAAAAAGAAATTTGATTTGAGCGATTTTGATTTGTTTTCACGTCTTGTTATGTGTAGTAACCATGGTAACAATCAGATTTACTCATTTTGAAATACAAAGTTCTTATTTTTTTATTTAATTTTCAAATATTCTTTTACAGAAAATTAACCTGAAATCAGTCCTGCCATTAGCGTTATTATGTTACCTTGCCTCCAGGATTTCCGACACAAAAATCTATAAAACAAGGCCTCACATAAATATCAATTATCTGACATCAAAATTTACATTTGACGCAAACAAACAAGAAATAGCATCATGATTCTTATTGTCTTTGTTTCTCTTTCATTATTTTTCAATTGGCAGTACAATTATCATGTGTAGAAAGATTTAAATTTCCATTTTCTAAAGTTTTGTAAACTAGAACCATGATGATCTCTGTCCAGGAAGGCCATCTGTGAGTTGACAGTTTCAAACTACAGGCCAAGAGGGGCACACTGTGCCATGGAAAGCCGACATTTTGAAACGAGGAACAACTGTGACCACTGTAGGTGAACTTTGTATGCGTACACATGATTCAAGAACAAACCCCGTGTACTGCGCTTCTCAAGAATGTGCGCTACATAAACTTCCACATCCGAAAATGGCACAGAAATCTTAATCGGCACCAGTCGTGGTATTCTATCCCACAAGACATTGCAAAGTTTTGATTCTAGTTCCTGTCAGTATTACGGGAAATGCTACCAGATGTCGACTGGAGAAGTCGAAACCAGATGATCCCAATTCTGCAAAAAGGCTCCGCCCAGACCCCGAGAAAACAAATAAACGCATGTAAAAACAATTATTCAGTCCGCCTTGAAACAAGTGATTGCCATAGCAGTTTGCCCTTGAAATCCCTATCTTTTGATTGGTGGAGACTCAGTTTGAGACACTAGTTCCTACTCATGCAGTGAAACAACAGTTGATATTTGAACTTAAGCGCAAATATTTTTTTTTCATATGATTTTCTTTTTAATGGACACAGTGCTACTCCTGTTTTGTG